TAAAAAATATACAATGTAGCAGCGAATAAGTAAATCTAAAGCTGATGAGTGAGTATAATAATATAGTAGCTATGTGTGAAAAAGATGGAGCCCAGGTACTTGTACTCTTCAATGGCTCCAGGACCCCCTCTGATTGTGGTTGTGGCTGCTGCCAGTTCCATCTGCCTTTTGAAAAAGGCACAACCATCTCTTTGGTTTTGTTGACATTTAGTTCCAAGCAAGAGCTGTCATATATTGTCAGAGCTGTCAAACTCCTACAGAACAGATCTGAGGAGCTGTGAGGGGCCTGATAGTAGAGACAGAAGAACTGTGTCGTCTTAATACTTAACCAGGTGACAGTTGGTCTGTGTGAATCTGAAGTCATTGGTGTATAGGATGAAGAGCAGTGGCACACAGCCCTAAGGGGAGCCAGAGGAAGTGAAACAGAGACAAGATGTTGTTGACCAGGACTCTGTGATCTACTGGTGAGAAGGTCCAGCATCCGCAGGATGAGTTGGTCATCTAGATGGAGGCAGGAACGTTTTCCAACAAACCATTACTATCTAAATAATCGCATAGCTGGTTCTTCTGACACTTTACATGCACACAGTGAGAGTCACCATGAACAAGAGTGAGGTGAAATATCTGTGTCACCTCTCAAGGATTTTTTTTTTATAACATTAAAATCAGCCAGTTTTGAGTGCCAGGAAGATATAAATGCCATAATTAAATTTGCCTTTAATTTTCTCACAGATTCTAAGACCTTCTGAAACTTGACATGTCGACGGTGAGGGTCACCATAAACAAGAGTAAGGTAAAATATGTGTCACCTCCCAAGGATTTTTTTATAAGAATATTTAAAGTCAGCCAGTTTTGAGTACCATAACGAAAAGTAACCAGGAGGCCATTCATTTTTTCAATAATTCTACAGTAAAATCTTCCTAAACCTGACATGCAGACAGTGGGGGTCACTCTGACAATATCAGGTAGTTAGAATTTCAAGTTAAGTAAAAGCTTAGAAATGGGAAGTTCAACATTTGAGTGAGAAAAACATTTTGAATTGACTTAATTTTACAGATTGAAATAAATGTGTTGTTCTGATCACTTCAAACTGTTTCATTACTTTGCCAGTACTTTAGTCCGAATGCCTTTGTAATTTAAAGGTTCAGTTTGTAAGATTTAGGTGAAATCAATCTATTGGTAGAAATTGAATATAAAATAATCTTGGTGATGTTTTTACAAGTGTGTTTAATATAAATTGTTTGAATTGTTGTTTTCTTTACCCTAGAATGAACCCTATATATAGATACTTATATTTTAAATTGGGAGGAGGTTCTCTCAACGTAGACTGCCATGGTCATTTTAATAACAAAGACTGGGCAAAATAGTACCTATAGCACAGGCTTTATTTAGAGTTAGGGATTTTTCCACATTTTTCCACCAACATACTCTTCCTCAGAAATACTGACTGATCAGATTGATGGCAAGGAAATTCTTATTCAACTGAGTGTAATAAATCATTTATGACTCTAAACATTAATGAACAATAGGAATCAGATTAATAAACACCAACAAATTAGATAATATAGTTTTCATACATGATACACAGTATAGTTTAGTCTAGCACATATTCACGAATTACAATTTATCTCCCAGGACTTAACAAGGTGCGATATCCTCTGTCCTTAACCCTCAGCAAGAGTGCCGAAAACTACCAAAAACAACCCCCCCACAAAACGTAGAAACCTCACAGAGCCACATGTGAGGGATCCCTTTCCCTGGACGGACAGAAGTGCAATGGATGCCAGTCTTACGTTCTCTAATTGAGTTCTATCACATGACGATGGTTGACATGGAGGGTAAAGTGTCCAAAGATGTTAAAAAGGTTCTGGATGAAGTGTCTACGTCGGCACGAAAACACCAACACAGAAATGTCAACATTTCTGTGAGAAAATGAGCTAGCAAGAGAGAGAGAGGTGCTGCTGCACACAGAAAACAATGGATGGATACAAACACAGAGTTGGGATCTTACGTTATGAGAAATGTAAAGCAATTACGGAACATAATGAAACTGTGTCGAGATGAAAACTGATACACAAAATGAACCAAACCAGTTTTATGTCCATAACAAAAGTAAACAGAAGGTGTAGCCAGTGGGCAAATGATAATCGGTATGTGCCTTAACACGTATAACACTGGTAACCCCATTGTCCACATGTGCATGTGCCACATGGAATTACAGACCATTACATGCCTCAATTAAATGAAGCAATGCTGCCATCTACAGTGCTGAGAACATTGGAGACAATGCAGTCGGATTCCCTGCTGGAAAAGTTATTAATTAAAAGTAAGTAAAGTAGTAAAGTAAAATAAAAGTATTAATTTATTCGGCCAACCAATAAATCGGTCAGGATCTAATTTTCAGGTTTAGCACATTTTAATGTTCCATAATGTTGAAGTCCTAGTAATATATACCCTTGTTTTGATTATTCCCAAATTATTTCGATCTCTGCTGCCACAGCTTTGACCTGTAGGGACTTGGGTCCTGTTTGTGTGAAAACCTTTTAATGTGTTTTTCCACATCGTACATTTTACCCATGGTTTACATTTGTGGTTTATCTGGTTTATTTGTGATAAAAAAAACTTTTTTTTCTTTAGCTCTATATTTAACAACGTCAGTTTATGTTGACTAATTGAACTTTACCTAAACAATGAGCTCAGTTTTTCTCTTATGTCACAAGAACACAAAGAGGTAGTTTTTTTTGACACAGAGCCGATGTTAGGTTCGCTTGGATTGCTAAAGGAAGTGAATGTCAGCACCTCCCATAAATGTATTTTTTTTTACCTACCTTCTCGTCTTCTGATTTTCTTCATGTGTCCAGCATCTAGTGTTCATCAAGTCGGATGAGCTTTCTCCTGCCTTCAGTACACGTTTGCATGCTTCGTTTGGTGTTTCTAATTGAACACTGTAGAAATGACAAGAAATACAAAAATATCAAAAAAGCACTATATAACAACAAAAATCCTTTTACAAATTAAATATATGCATGTACAGTAAGCATAACAAAATAAACCAGGCAGATTAATATGTCTAGATAAACTTCAGGCACTTCTTAATAATGACATCTGAAATGTAAATGGAACATGTAAACGATGTAAACAAATAAACTCGCAGATTATGCTTCTCACTTTGCAAACCAAAACAGGATTGTCACACAGCTGCTTTCCCCTGGTGTCCTGTGAACAAAATGGCTGACCACTCGCCAATAGGTCCCTGAGCTGCACACGCACAAAGCCAATAGAGGGCACTAAACTGCACTGCTCGCCGCAGGTGCAATGCTGTAAGTTAATGTGTGTGCAAATAAGAAGAGCAGAATGGATATCAAACCTACAAGAACGCCAAAATATGGAAGTGACACCACACTGAGGCAGTTGAGGGCTTCTTCCTGGTTGTTGGGCAGATGTGATGCAGTCTGTCGTTTTCAACTGAATTATTGAAGATGAGGTTGCTTCGATTCTGAAGAGTGGATTTATGTGGCCCGTCTTCCAGTGGTTTCTGTTGTGTCAGTGCATGTCTTAAGGGGATAAGGGGAAGCATCCCCTATCGAACATGTCAAAAAAGACAGACCTTCCCACTGATCGTCAAACATCACATACATTTTCTTCTTCTCGTCAGTATGTCCCTAAGTGTGGAAATTAACCAGAATTATCTTGTAGCAGGGTTGAGTTTTCCACGGATCTCAGTGCGTGTTGAAGTGGCTACTTCTGAGGGCTGTTCAACTTTGTCCTCATGCTGTGTGGAAGGCAAAACTGCCCAGTTGGGTGGACAAGTATGGAGAGCTGAGATATGATGAAGACTATTGCACTCTTGACACAAAATGTCAGCTTTACAGTATTAAGCTTGATGGGTCTTTGAGGTGCAGCATTTGAAGCATATGGAATGTTCACTCAGAAATTGCTTTCTTTCTTCACGTGGCTTTTCACTGAAGCTCCTGCATATTTGAGTGAGCGTAGCGTTGATAAATGGGACACTGCTTGTCTATGTCCTCTAGAAGTTTATTCTCAGGATCTGAGGAGGAGTTCCAAACTAGTACTTTGTTTCCAAGAATCTAAATTAATTCAATATTCTTACTAAGACATATTGTGTCTCAGGATGGTTCTTAAAAATGTAAATTTGTTAAGCAATAATTCTGAGAGGATTATAAAATAATTGCAGAAAAA